CCCCCCATTTTCAGTACACGTAAACCACCATAGTGTACTATGTGTCCCCAAAACGACCTGACTCATAGCATCGATCTCAATTCGGGCATCGATTCGGCTTAAGGGATGAGTGTCGATAAAACGCAAGTTTATGTGCTAGCAACGGCTGTGAGTACAGCATGTAGGTAAATACGCACACCCCCTTCTCACTTCTCAGGCGCCCCGAGAAAAGTTTATCGACAGTAGGAGGGGTAGCAGTCTAACGCCAAACTTAGCGCTCCCCTCCCCCCCTCCTCTCCCTCTCTTTCTACATACAGAAAGGTGGGCTTCTAAGGGATAGGGTTACATTTATAGCTAAGGGGCTTCCATTTTTAAAATAAAAAGTGACAGGGACAGCTTGAGGTATTGACAAGGCGTGTGAGTAAGTTTAACTCTTTTAGGACGTTGCAGACACACCATATTATAACCAATCAGCAACAGATCAAAGTCATTATTGAGTGATATTTCGAACCCTTATACACAAACCATAATCACAAATTCGCATATTATTTTATATTATTATAACCCATGCCCGTCTTTTCAAGTTTCAAATAAAGAAAACGGAATTGAAAACTGTATAAGCTGCGATGTTATGCCCAAAATCAGCGAGTCTGCAAGCCCTCTCGAATGACCAGAATGCGTGTCGATCAATGAGTTAATCAGGCTGTCTTAGTTCTTTATTTATTGAGTGACGTATCATACAGTTCGTGAGTATTGAATTGAGATTTGTGTTCTTCCTAAGTCATTCAGATGATTCACATTGATGAGGACTCAACGTGACAGGTCGTAGTACTACGTGTGTGCCTGCTCTGTCTACCTTTTAACGTAAGTATTTTTTACGTTCACATCAACATTGTTTAGACTATTAAGTAGACAGGCTTTGACACTGCCAGTCAGGTCCAACCCAGGCTGAGAGGGATGCAACATCCCATCAGAAAGACCGAGATACTCAATAAAAAATCCACCCCTTTCGGGAATCGAATTCGGGTCTCGTGCCTGGCCGCTAAATCACAGATGCTGGTCGCTATCTATCTATTTCCCGTCTGTCAGTCTATCTGTCTGTCTGTCTGTCTGTCTGTCTGTCTGTCTGTCTGTCTGTCTGTCTGTCTGTTCAACTGGTGTTTGATGTCTGTCGTTGTCACATTTTCTTAATTATCAAAAAAATATTCATTGCAAGATTTCCACGACCCGTTGTTATGGATTTTATCTGGGTTTAACTCTAGCGTATTCTTTCAAGGAATAGTTTTGATAAAGTGAAAGCAACCCAAGTTGAAGTATAATAACTAGAAGTGCAGCATTGACTGGTATAGGTTCTCTATTGAAATTCTTTATATAAAAGATAAATATATTTCTTGAGTTTTACACAGAAAAAAATGTATGATTTCCATTTCTCGACTGGATATCATTTTGGAAAAAGGGAATATTCCAGCAAGAACGACTTAAAAATCAAATTTTACATAAAATAATAATGGACGCTAGATCTGCTGGTGTTTTATCTTTAAAGAGAAAAAAAGGGGGTGGGGGAGGAGTCTGGGTGGGCCCTGTTCTGCATGTCTGTGCAAAATCAGCTTTTCTGGACTGATGTGTCACAACGTGGTGGAATCAGGCGCTCGTCAATTTTTTGCCATATGGAGTTATTGGTATCATCTTAGAGCTTGTTTAATTATTGTGTTGCTTTCAATGAAAAAAAAATACGCATCTTTCTTGAATAGAAGTCAAGATATTTGCGATTGAAGGAAGAGGGGTCGCCTGGTTTCAATAGTAAATTTAGCAGGAAAATGGCTGACAAAGTTTGACAATTTCAATACATATTTTGTGCCTTTAATCAACGTTTCTTTTTTCTGTGAAATTCACAAGGGAATGTGTTTTTATTATAATCACTAAAGGTGTTGAGCCAAGCAACAACAACAAACAAACCGAAAATTATATAAAAATGGCTAAACCGGCAAAAAAAAAAAAAAAAAAATAAAATCCCCCTTTCTTCAATTTCACTATTTTGACAAGCGCCTGATTTCACCATGATGCCTCACATTTCATTTTCAATTACTCATGTTTTTTTTCTAGAACGATTTTAATGGTTTTTGGTCAAAGCAATACGGATAAGAAATCCAACATGCTTTGTTATGTAAGATGTTATCTATCACTTAAAAAATTACGTCTTTACAAATTTTTTCAAATTTTCTCTTCTCGATAATACTTTCTGCTACTCCTCCGAGGCTTACCGATGGATATTTAATGGTATTTGGAGAAAAGATCGCCCAGAGGTAATGCTTCATCTTATAGGAGTTTAAAAAAACCTTATCTATTCGTGTAAATTTCGGCAAAATGTACCATAAAAAAAACCCAACTTTGACATACTAAGCTTACAACAAAAAAATTCAACAAGATATAAGAAACCCGAATCCTTTGTGATAATAACAACACTTTTTTCTACATTTTTTTTAAAAGCAAGGAAATTCCCTCTGTAAAGTTCGGAGGAGAATCATAATTTTGTTAAATTGACGTAATATTCAAGATGGCAACCACTAAAGTGAAAACAGCAATAGAAAAAGATAAAACCATTATTTTGCAATGTAATTTTTATACCAACAATAAATTCACGAGGAGCAGAGTTTCAAGTCGTTAGGCCAGGTAATAAAGACTTCAGCCCGATAGGTGGACCCCCATCCTCTTTTAAAAAAAAAATGTGACGTTATCAGCAGCCTGCCAATATCACACGAAAGTATTATCGTATTATGTTTTAACACTTTGCTCGAAACGTACATAATATGCACATAACGACTTTCACTTATCAAATTATCGTTGGCGACATTTTACAATTACCTACATCAATTTCTCGGGGTTTCTAGATACAGCTGTTATTATAAAAAAAAGACATCAAGCGCCATCTTACAATCTTGTTTTTTCGGTTGTTTTTTTTGCATTCTCATTTTTTAAATTGAAAAATAACGAAGGCGCAAGTCATGGATCTGATTTTGGCTAACATTTTTTGGCCGAATTTTCTCAAAACTTAAAACAATGGACTTTAGCCCTTGTGGGGTGATGCTGACGATGATAATGATTAGTAACAAAGAAAACGTCTTATTCGCTGAAAGGAACTACATAATAATATGTATAGGTTCCCTGGACTCACACACAAAAGCAATAAAGATAGTTCACAACCACCCAAAGTCTGCAATATTTAAGCGTTTCTGTATAGGTGGGACTATAAATTAACTGTTTAGGGACACGTACAGGTCATGTACAGATGAACTGTTATGGAAGCACTCCTCCTCCTCCTCCCCCTCCTCCTCCCCCTCCTCCTCCTCATTCTCCTTCTCCTTCTCCTTCTCCTTCTCCTTCTCCTTCTCCTTCTTCTTCTTCTTCTTCTTCTTCTTCTTCTTCTTCTTCTTCTTCTTCTTCT